GTATAAAATATATAAAATCAGTGTATTTTAACTCGTGTTCTTTATTTTAAGTTCAACTCGAAATAGTTTATCCGAATGAAGCATGTACTTAATAATTAAACCAAGAAAAAAGAAAGAATTTATTTAAATCAATATTTCTTGAGATATCTATTTTATAATACATATTAAGGACTCCTTTTTTTACCCATCTCTATAATTAGTGGAATAATTAATAAGTTGTACTACATAAATGTGTTTGTCAATTGTCAAATATAATATTCGTAAACTTATCGATATGAAAAATATAATTAAATTATTAAAATTAATAATAAAGGGTAAGGAACACTTTGTATCTCTATTTTCAACACAGTTTTAAAGCTAATTATATAAAAAGCATATTGCTTTGTTTTTTGGAAAATTTTAATAAAGAAATAAAGAATATCGTCTACAAATAAAAAAATCATCTAAATAAAAGAAAGATTAAATACGTAAACAGTTCGGGTTTACCATTTCTTTTATTTAAAAATATATTTATAATCTTTTTTACGTATATATAATTCTTTACAAATTAACGTAATTACAAATAAGGTCTGTAATACAATCGTAAAGCTAAAAATTAATTTTTCATTATAAAAAAAATAAATCAATGTTCCACAACTTGCATATTTGATTAAACAACAGACTTTGCGTATGTCGAAATATTATAACATAAATTTTTTTGTAGGTAACTTCTATCGGTGGGCTAAAATATGGTCTTCCTCGCGGTTTCAATCCAATAAGCCGGCCGACGTTTCAAACACGCGGAACCAGTCGTGCTCCAATTGCTGGACGCGGAAAGAAGACTCAAATGAAGGTGAAAACATCTTATTAACAGAAACGTTGGACGCGAACGATTACACCGGGAAATTAAATCCGCTATCGAATGTGATTCATAAATACACACAGCGGAATCATTTACTACATAATCAGCTCAACATACGCGTGCGCAAACTCAAACGTAACTCTGCAAGACGAACGCCGCTTTTGAAAATTACAGGCGTATGAGACGAGGCGCATAGATCGGGAATAAAATCTTTTGCTTGCCAGGCAACTGCTTTTGTCACTAAGGTGCTCATATTCTGCACTAACACTCTTCTGCTTGTCTACTTCTGTGCATTAATAGCGCTACACTTACACTTTCTTCACTTTGTTCGATTTCTCTGCGAAGAAAAAGATTTTACTTTTATCTTTTGTTCAGGTGACTGCCAAAAAGAAGACTACGATCAAGAAGACCAAGGAAATCGAGAAGAAAGATAACAAGGGTCGTGGAATCACTGTCGATGGAATCACCGATTATAAGTGAGTATTGCCAGCTTCGTTCATCTACTATATCCTATTTTATCTATTTAAATTATTAACTATTATTATTATTTCAATCTTATCTTATAACTCAACATATTCTTTGCATTTATGTGATGTAAACAAGTTTTTTTGCAGCTTTATTTATTTTTTGAAAAACTCATCGTTCTGTATTTAATGACATATCTCTAAATCTTCTTGAATTTTATTCTTAATTATTATTTAATGCAATGATTTATAACATTCCTCTCTATTTCAGCGAAACTCAAAGTGATAGCGCACGTGCGTTACCGAATGAAGTGCACAAGGCGAAAGACGCATTGTCTGTGCCGGGTCAGTTCGATGACGCGGTGGAGAATGGTAAAGCTATGGAAAAGGGGCAAGGCGATGCGCCGCTCGTCACTCCAGTTGCTACGGAAAATTAGGTATCAGTATCAGAGAGAGAACTTTTCGGAAAATGTCTATAACCACTCCCGGATCGTGACTGAAGACTGCTAACAATCTACTTATATATGTTCTGAGCAATTGTGCACCGGTAACATTTGAATATCTGTCTTCGAAATTTATATCTGATCAGATAATCGAATGTCAGGAAAATCGGTAGATTACCTATATGTGTTATGTGCCTTATAACAAGGCATTATTCTATTTGAATTTACTTTTTGTCTAATCAACGTAATATAATTTAATATGAGATATATATATATAACCGTTATCAGGACCAGTGATGCGATGTTTCTTACCGAGCTCTTGGCTTCCGAGCCCCACACAAACGAGAAGCGCGTACATTTGTCGCGCAAAGCATTCTGTGCAGCACGCGTACGCGCTTCCCGCTTGTGTGGGGCTCGGAAGCCGAAAGCCCGGTAGGAAACATCGCATCACTGGATCAGTGCAATGTTGTGCTTTAAAAATGTATGATGTGTGACTTGAATTTTCTTCTTTTTTTCACAAAATTAGAATTTTATAAAAAAAATTACTATGTTGCAAAATATTAATATATTATTAGTTAATATTTATACATTATTAATATATAAATGTACTAATATAATATATTAATATAATATATTATGAATGTATTTTTGACGGAAAAATCTTATCTTCGAGTTGTCGATGGCTTATTTGAAAGCTGTCTGCTTCGAAATGTTACGTGCACAATAGTTCTAAAGCTCTAATGGGGCCAAAATGTTGAACTGATGATAGGAGACAAGTAATCTTTACTTACGTCGCCACGGTAGTCCGCGGCGCGATGTAAAGATTTTACCCTTTCTTGACATACGCGATATATGATGTCCTCACTGCCAAACGTACCACTCTATATAAGATAGAAAGACAAAAGAAAAAAAATCGTGCTTGTGCTATAAAAAAAAAAAGAAAAAAAAAGAAGAAGCGAACTAATTTCGCTTGCATTACCATGGAATGGAACTCGACTGATTAGTGTATGCGTGTGCTAATTTTACTACTCAGAACAAGTCGTCAGCTGCTATAAGTATTTAATTCTTAAGAAGTGTGATTATTTTTTTTACACGAAAATATATATTTTCCGGTATTATATGAAATGCTCGCTACGACGTATCTCAGTGGTCCGGTCTGATCGACGAAGAAAGTAGCCTGATACATACATACAGACACATACGTATTACACGCCGTATATTACACGATAACGCTTAACCGACTTTTGTAGATAAGAATCATGAGTCCGGATGGGGCACTCAGATAGTCGTTAGCACATGGAGACTGATGCTTTTCATATAGGTAAAATATATATTTATATGATATACATATGATTTAGATTAGAATTCCCAGATAGTATATTATACGTAAGTTGTGCCTGAGTACATGTGTGCGAATGTGCCGCGTTTACGAGTACATGGGAGAATTTGTGAATATTATACACAGCGCGGGTGTTTATGTCCGATCGACAGAGAGAGAAAGAGAGAGAGAGAGAGAGAGAAAGCGAGAATGAGAGGAAGAGAGCAAGAGAGAGACAGAAAGGGAAAGAGAGAAAGAGAGTAAGGCCACGATAATGATGTACATAAACGTGGCGTGTTATGTCGTTATGAACGCGTGTACACACGCGTTATTTCCGCCGTGTGTACACGCGTACGCGCAATCTAGGTCATATATTTATTTGCAGTTGCGTTGAGAAATTGTGTGAATGATTCTTGGCAACGGAGTTTGAGATTTAGGTACGATAGCGTTTCTATTTTAAAGCCCACGGCACGCCGCGCGCATTTTTGCGCGCGAGACCGCGCGCTAGTCGGTGAACCGGCTAAAGATTCACCACACAATTAAGCTATTTTTGTCATAACACTGCGCGCTGTGTGGTGCATTTTTATAATAATAACTTATGGGCTCGCGCGTGCGACTCGCGCGTGCGGGAGAAGCGCCGCGCGCCGCTGGACTGAGCACACCTTGCAGACTTGAGGCTTATTTCGTGAGGGCGCCCGGTTACTTTACGGGCGTTTGTTGATCCTCACGAAATGCTTCATATTGTTTGGCAAATATGCTACATTGTGGTAGACGTTTTTACATTGTTGCAATTCGTTCGTTCGAGACACCGTTTACAAGAGAGACATTTGGTTGAAACATGCGTTAGTTTAATTTCCATCGCGAGAGCCTCGCGTACATGGACTTGTTCGTTGACATTTTGACGTTTCGTTTTGAACAAAAAAAAAAAGAAAAAAAAAAGAAAGTAATGGTAACACGTTTGGAATTACGTTCTCGTAGACACCAGTTAATTGTTGAATATGAGATTTGCAGATAGAATCAACTGTTTACAAAATGCGAATTTTTTGCGCACGCCAAGTGTAGCATATTTCGAGATATATCTCTTGTTTAATTGTACATATGAATAGTTACTTTAAAAATGACCCAGTGCGATTGATATATGGTGTACATACAGAATTCAGATGCGTGTGTGCTTATCACGCATCGGGATAGGAAAGGATTATGTTAGAAATATACTATTTATGTGTAGAATAGTCTAAATGACTTTCTACCAAAGATCATCGGGGTTTGAGAGAGAGAGAGAGAGAGAGAGAGAGAGAGAAAAAAAGAAAGAAAGAGAGAGAGGGTTCTTTTATCAATAGAAATGATATATAACAGCGAAATAACAAGACAGCACGACAGCAGGACACAGATTATTAAAATAAGAAACGGAAAGGTGAGGCAAAGATCACGTGTCTCGGAAGGACATTTGTGCGAAGGTATGGTTAAAGTGAGTAAAAGAGAGGGAAACCATTTATTGAGATAATATAATGAGATATGATGATAAGATAAAATGTTATATTTTTGTAGATTTGTTATTGCGTAAAATGCATTAGGACAATGAGAAACTTTATATAATTTCAGTAAAATGACAGTTAACGAGCCTGAGAGTAGTTAAACGAGTGAGATCCTGTGAGAGAAAAAAAAGACAGAACGACGAAAGTGCTTTAGATGGCATGTTAAGGAAATGACATTCGCGGATAAAAAAGAAACGGGAGGAAATTCCATTCGTTTCTTCTACGTTTTTTTTTTTTTCGAAGCTCTCAGTTGCTCTGAGTCGCTTGCAGGAACAGGAAGAAAAAGATATTAATAGACACGCGTTTAACGTATATGATTAACAGACAGTGAATTTTAAAAACTAATGTCAGCTTCAATGTGCGCCGAGCATATGCGAACACAAAATTCGATAGTTTCGCGCGACGCGCTACGCGAGGATCATTGACATTTGCTTAACGTGCTCGTCTTAACGAGCGTTTGTAAACTAAGAACATTTCACGGATACATGCAATATGATTTTGGAATCATTCGAGTCTCATAAACTTTCTACGATTAGTGTGTGTTAATTTGCGAAGTACGTTGCATAATATATCGAGTACGATCGCCGCAATAATATTCCTTTGTGAGCATAAATTTGAAAATTGACAGCTGCCGTTCGTTCCCGAACGGCGCAACACATACACATACACCTTACGCACATGCATGCATACATACATACATACATACACATACAACACGTACTAGAAGCCGACTTTTCTTGAATCTGACGAAATACGAATTTGAGAGTAAAATGCCACACTTTACGCTTTTACGTAAAGATAGATGATTTTCTTTCTAAGAGAAATCGAACTCTTGATATATATACCGGATATGCAAAACGAGTAAAGACACAAATAACGATGTATGCAACATGATCAGTCGCCTGCTGCACTGATATGAGTATGCAATAATAATAATAATAATAACGTGAAATAATTTAATGTAAACACGAAGCGTAATGCAAAAAAAGCGGGAAAAAAAGGAAAATCCATATTGAATACAACAGAAGGCAGAAATGTTGAAAATAAGGAAACTTGCATAAAAGCACAACGTAAAAACCAGGCGTGTCCACCGCGAAGCGTGCCTGCTTTTCGTTGTAATAAGTAGAAAAAAAAAATGGGGCCCACGCAACACTCGTCTATGATAAATACCGACATACCATTAAAAGTTACAAGTAATCTATCGTATTTATGAAATAACGATCTATAATGACACCTTCGAAGCATTGTGTGTTGTAAACAGATAAACTAAACAGAAAATTAATCGTACACACCGAGTAAACGCTAATTTTCGATAATCTTGCTGGAGCGACGAGTATCCGCTTAAATGAAGAAACGAATCGCGACGGAATTCGTTAGAACCGCGAGTGCGGGAGAAAAACAATTACGAAACGTTATTACGCGATGACGCGCTCGATTTTTCGAATGGAAACGGCTGTTTTCATTTTTATTTCGACGCTATACTTTTCCAGCACCGAATATTATACGATACGCAGCCGAGTGGAACGCTCATTAATTAACTCTCCGAACGTATATTCATAAATAGTCATATCTCCTTTATTCAAACAGGAATCTTTTTGCTTCTTATGTTACTACGCTCCATTTTCGTTTTATACTTTGTAGAATCTTAGATCATTTTGCAAAAATTGTTGAAAAAAAAAAGTGAGATCATTTAATTTCAAGAACTTGTTTTAAATGATTGCTAAAAAAAAAAAAAAAAA